TTGTGGTTAATTCCATAGATTATATCTTGCAACCCACTGCGTGAAGCTACTGCAGATACTGTAGACTTCACCTTAAACTCAAGATCTGTTTGATTTGATCCATTTTTGAAGAAAGGCTTTGGCCAAAGGGACTCATTTCGTTGTAAGAAGGTGGGTCCATAGAACCACATCATACATCCTGATAGTCGATCTGCCTTCATACCTCTAGATATAAAGTCTGCCGGATTATCTTTTGTCCCAACATGCCGCCATTGAGTGCTTAGTGTCCTATCTTGGATGTATTTCACCTTGTTGGCAACAAACGTTTTGAGTGTTGATGGTTCCGCGTTGATCCAGTATAAGGTAATCTCTGAGTTTTACCAATAAATAGTCTTTACATCTTCATAACCTAGTTCTGCCTTGACCTTCGTAGTCAGTTTTGCTCCTAATTCAGCTGCACACAGTTCTAGCCTTGGCAAAGTGACCTCCTTAATTGGTGCTATTTTCGACTTTGAACAAAGAAGCCTTACTATCTGCCTTCCGTCTTGCAACATAGCCCTGAGATATATCACCGCTCCATATGCCTTCCCTGAAGCATCCACAAATGTATGAATTTCAACCTTCGTCGGCTTTTCTCCGTCGAACATATGTCTGGGTAATTTGAAATCGTTCAAAAGTTTAAGATTTTCACGGAACGATAACCAATATGTCATCTCCGATGGTAGCTCATCATCCCAAGCAATCTTATTCTTCCATAATTGTTGGATGAAAATCTTTGCTGCCGAGACTACAGGACCTGCAACTCCTAATGGGTCAAACAATCTTGCTAAATCGGAGGTGACCTTTCGCTTGGTAACAACTTCACATTCATCCACACCACTCTTTAAACAGAACCTGTCTACCTGAGGAATCCATGTCAATCCTAGAACCTTGGTTGATGAATTGTCGAAGTTGAGGTCCACTTCTCTATCTTCCGGTGGAACTCCATGAAGGAGTTGTAAGTGGTTAGCACACCACTTTCGCAGTCTAAATCCTGCTTGCAACAATAAGTTATTTAGCTGCTTCTGCATCTCGATTGCCGTTGATAAACTGTCGGAACCGCACATGCCGTCGTCAACGTAGAAATTCTTTTGAAGTACTTGTGCATACAATGGATATTTGTGTAGGTTCATATCTGCTAGTTTTTTCAGACACCTTGTAGCCAGATAAGAGGCGCAGGTTGAACCATATGTTAATGTATTTAACATGTAATGTTCAAGTTCCTTGTCCGGGGAATTTCTCCACACAATCAGTTGATATTTGCGGTCCCTCCTGTCGACCAGTTCTTGTCTGTACATCTTCTCAATATCGGTTGTAAACACAAATCGTGGAAGTCTGAATCGCAACAACATTCCAAACAAATCGCCTTGAACCTTTGGGCCTGAATGCAACACGTTATTAAGTGACCATCCAGATGAGGACTTACAGGATGCATCGAACACGACTCTCAGTTTAGTTGTGCTACTATCTGGGCGAAGGACAAAATGGTGTGGGATATAGTAGTGGCTGCCGCGCACCTCTCTCGATTGTATTTTTGTCATATGTCCCAGCTCTTCATACTCCTTCATAATTTTGACGCTCTTGAAGACTCGCATCCTTCGATAAGCGCCGCTCCAATGAGAAGAATCTGGACGCTGCAATATTGAGGGACTCGGATAGTTTATCTGCATCATCTGCAAATGGCAATCGTACAACAAAACGACCATCTTCATTGACTATTGTATTTTGGTGGAAGTGATTCTCACACCTTTCATCTGCTAGGGTCACTTTCTGATCTTCGCCTACATCATCTTGTTCCCAAAACTTTTTTAAAAATTCTTCCAATGCCCCATTAACATCTCCGAATACTGCACACGTGGTTGTTTCCGATTTTGCATTGACCTTTCCACTAGCAATCCAGCCCAGTTTCGAGTTTTTCAATATCGGTAGCTCTTTGGACATACGAATCTCTTGTGACAAAATCAGATCGAAGTAAAATTCTTCGCCAAGCAGTACGTCTATTTTGCTTGTATTGCAAAAGTATGGATCTGCTAATTTTATATTTTCCGGAATAGGCCATGATGACACGTCGATGTCTGTGCTGGGTTGTGGCGGAACTATGTTTGATTAGTATTTTTTGCTCTTCCACCAATACCTTCAATGCAGAGAGACGCTTCTATGGGATCAATGCCCAACCTCTGCACTAGTCTCTCTGATACGATGTTAATCTGTGAGCCGGAATCCAACATAGCTTTAAACTCGCAAGACCTTCCGTTATTGGCCTTGATGGTTGCTAGAAGGACATAGGACTGGCTCCTGTTTGCCGACGCCACTGTCTGTGGCTGTTGAGGTGACAGCACTGATGTACTGCCCCCTGATGCATCTTTCGTGGTGAAATGTAACAGGGTATTGCTTTTTGTTGGTGGTGTTTGATTTGAGACCTTCGTTGACGGTTGAGACTTTTTTGGCAAATGTAGCAATGTATTGTGCTTATTACTACATATTTTTCAGTTGCCAGAAAAACAAGGTTTTGCTATATGGTCCGATTTGAAACAATTTACACACAATTTTTGTTGCTGTATCCATTTCAATCGCTCACCTTCTGTCATTGCCAAGAACTTCTTACAATGATAAATTGGATGGGAGTCGTTCTTGCATAGTTTACAACTCCTATGATCCTCCACTGATATTACGGACGAAACAGTTTTGATTGAACCCTTGTGAGTAGATGCCGCTTTTCCAATCGATTCCATTGACTCAAATTGTAGTTCCAAAAATGCAAACAGCTCTTTCATAGTAGGAACTTCCTTCGGATTCGTCAGTGATTCGTATGTACAGCGCGTGATCCAATTTCTTTGTGATCAATTGAATTAATAGAGCATCCCAAGACGTCGTGTCGATTTGAAGATTGTTGAGGGCTAGCATGCATTCCTTTGTAGTGTCATGCAGAGCCTTGATGGAAGCCGTTGATGAGGTTCCATTTGGTTGACTCAGAATCCGTTCTACTAGACTGGAAACGAGAACCCGTTTATTGTTATAACGTTCTTGCAGCAACGTCCATGCCGTTTTGTAATTATCCTCTGTCAAGGATGGATGGCTAATTAGTTTGCCAGCCTCGCCAGATAAATTGGTTTTGAGTTACCACATTTTTTGAACACTTGGAAGAGACTGTTTGTCTACCATCTCCAAGAAAAGTTCATAGAACTGACGCCAATTCAAACAATCCCCACTGAATTCAGGAATTGTTACCTTTGGTAGTGGGAGTGAACTGTGTGCTATAATGTCACTCCCCAGTTGAGGTGCAATGGTCACGGTTTCGCTGCATTTGTCCTTCAAGACTGCCAGTTTTATTAAGTTGTCTTGTACCGAATCTTCCAGCAGATCGTAGTTTTCTTTACTCAATCCAATTTTCGATGGATCTTCAATCTGCTGCAATATTTCATCGTAGAGCTCCGTTATTTGATTCCATAGCTTCTTTATAGTATCTTCTTTGATGCTATAAAATTGCTTGGGCTGTTCCGTTTCGATTGTGCCCAAGCCTTGCAAGTGACAACTAAGGGCACTCATTCGAGCATTTATCATTCTGGCAAGTCCATCAACACGGGAAGGTATATTGTCTCCTGCGACAACTTCAGTCGATTTCTCTCTCAAGGTGGGAACTAGCTTACTTTTGGCAGACATCAGTTTCTTCATTTCCGCGTCTATATATTCCATTGTTGAGCAGAACTTTTCTCCAATCGTTCTATATAGATTCCGAGCAATATACGGATCATCCTCTGACAAAGATGGATCATCGCGAATTCTGTTCTCTGCCTTCTAGAAACTCTGCCATAACAGCCTTAGTTCATGAAGTTTGCCCGTTCTTCTTTCAAGAGGGGCCTTCTTTATAGTAGAGACGAATTTTTCGAAATTAAGTTTATGTCAGTTATTTGCTGACAATAATAATGTGTTTAAATAATAATAATATGACTAAATGATAATAGCAATATGATTAAATGATAATATGATTAAATCATTATGTTCTTTTTGAACAGAAGCACAAACGGCCTTTGACACCCTCAAGAAGTTGTTAATTTCGGCACCTATCCTCTCTTTCTAGAATACCCTTTGGTGAAATATCCGAAGTGGAGTGCCTTCAACTAGAGATTGACATAGAATCGCCACATTTTAACGATGACGACTATGCACGGCTTAAGGAAAAAATAAAGGGAAACCTTTCACAATATCCTGATGTTAACATTGTAGACCAATTCATATATATTCGAACTGATCACTATGAAGGCGATCCTTATCAGGAAGCCTCCTGTTGAAAACTTTGGGTTCCAGATCAGTTACGACAAAGCGTTATTGCTCGAGCACATAACTTGCCAGTTTCAGCCCACTGCGCTACAAGGAAAACCTTGGAACTGATCCGCAGAAATTTTTATTGGCCCGGGCTAATTCATGACGTAAGGAACTACATTCGTCTTTGTGAAGTTTGTAAGACATCAAAAGCCCCAAATTTTCTAATGAAGCCGAACATGGGTCAACAAACGGTAACTGCAAGACCATTCCAACGAATGTATATTGATTTGCTAGGACCATATCCTCTCTGCAAACAAGGATATATAGGATTGTTCATCGTGCTAGACCATTTTTCCAAATTCCATTGATTATGCCCACTAAGGAAATTTACATCAGCTGCTATTATAGATTTTTTGAGAACTAATATTTTCCATATATTCCGGAGTTCCGGAATCGATTGTTAGCGAAATGAATTTAACGCCTTCCTGACATCGCTCGGTATATCTCATACATACACCGCACTGTATTCTCCCCAGGCTAATGCCTCGGAGAGAGTCAATCGCCCCATCATAGCTGGAATACGTAGTTACCTAAAAGATGATCATACTATGTGGAACCAACACCTTAGTGCCATATGTTGTGCTTTGTGAAATAGTTATCATCAATCAATTAAATGTTCACCGTATCAGGCAGTTTTTGGTATAAACATGGTTACCCATGGCAGTTCCTACAAACTCTTACGAAACCTCGGAGCTTTGAGTGAACCTCACATACAACTGCATAGAAATGATGAACTACAAATTTTAAGAAAACCCATAAAAGATCACTTATCTACAGAAATCTATTGTTTTCAAAGTTTACCGCAGGAATTTTGCGCAAAGCTCGCATGAAAAGAAATTTAACGCAAAATTAGCTCCACTGTTTATTAAAGCTGTGGTTAAAGAGAAAATAGGTAGCAACTACTATAAACCATTCACCGTCCGTCCAACAAACAGATAGCGATCATTAAACACTGCTCTGTTTTTTTCTCTCTTGTTGCCTTACTGCTGTAAGAGGTTTGCTTAGTCTAGTTAATCGTGATTATCATTCCTTTATATCAATCCACCAATCAGCAAAGACCTCGAAATTCTTTTGTGAGAAGTAAAAATTTCTAATAGAACTAAAATCTTTTAAAGCCCACGTGCGAAGTTATTACTTAAAATTCTTTAAGTATAATTCTTAAATATAAATTCTGACTTAATAAAAAAATCGAGAGGTAAATATTCCTATTATGTGCAAAGTGCAAAATTACAGTGTAATATTTAATTGGCAGAAAATATACCTCAGAGCCGCCACGCGGTTCCCTCCATTTTTCCAAAGTACCCAATCATAAAAGGTTAGAAATTCTACCCGTAATCGCGAACAAAACCCTGAAAAATATTGTAAATGTAAAATTTGGTGTACTAAATTTAAGAAAGTGCTAGTGCTTAGATAGTTTTGTTCTCCATCACAGGCCATAAACCAGTGCGTTATACAGTGTTGGAGGCTCCATTCCACATAACCTCCATTCTGTCAGCGCCATCTGTAGCGTAACAAAGCATTGCTGTACTAGAGCTGTAAAAACATCGATATTCCAAACATTAGATAGTTCCGATATTTCTTTTCAAACTATCGATATTATCGGTAATTTTCCACCACTATTTGGAAATGAATAGTGAATTGAATTTGAAACTACAGAAAATGGTTATGGCAAACGTTTCAGGCTTAAAACACACAAATAATTATACATTATATTTTGTTATTTTACTATTTTTATTGCAAAATTAAATATTTTTCAATTCATAGGTGTATATTACTTTTACATAACAAAATTAACAAAAAAAATATATGGATCATTTTATGCTCCATAAAAACAAAAAAAAAAACAATATATACTGTAACTAACGCTTACAGCTAGAAAAAGATATATGCACTAAAAATTCTGTGCTATTAATTAGAGATCATACAAATAACATAAATATATACTTATTCTATTGAAGACTGTGGCATTTTAAAA